TTTAGCATGTGAACATCTTTTTTGATGCTTCTAGAATTTCAGATGGCTGACCGGCTTCGGAACTGTCACACTAATAATTTATAAAATTAGAATGAAAAGATTGCATAATAGCAATAAATGATCAGCAGATCACATTTACTGCCCAGCTGGCCACCACTTATGGTTAATACAAGAACACTATAATGCTGATCTCCCTTCTTAGGTTCAACGGCTCCTGAGTCTAAACATCCGAAAACGTTGTTCTTCATCGGCCCAACTGCTGTTTTATCCAGTCTTCACCTCTTTTCTGAAAAATCACAAATTTAGTCAATGTGGTTCTACTTAAAATGGGTAACATTCAGTAAAATATGACTCTAATAATATAATATAAATATAATATAAGTAATTGACAAACACATTAAAGTGAACACAATTAAGAGGTGAATAGAGTCTTCTCGACCATGCTTACAGTCTACGAGGATCTGGGGTACTGGAAAAATGTATGAGAGAGGAAGAGGGTCACCAGGTAATCCCTATTATCATCATCAACTGGTTTATTCTCGAAATCATGGATAGTCGTCAATTCATAGAGAATTTTAAAGGCCACAATATTCTCCACATCAGCTACCTCTGTCAATATATATCGTGTATAAATATATAAGTGCAGAATAACAGTTGAGATTCAGATATGATGTGGATAATTTTTTTATCATTACATTGTAATATTTTCTATTACAAACATCTTTAAAAAGTTCAAGAAACTGTCTAATAAATGTGATCATCTTGAGATACATTTTCCAGATTCATATTATTTGTTCTGTTCTTCTGTTACAACTAGAGTTTATATCGACCATGTGCAGAGGCCAGCCTCTCGGTACATCTGCTTACTTTTACTCATGTCTCCCCAAAAGTGGCAGCTTAATCCCGGATCCATGCTGTAAAGGGCAGATTAGCAGAGCAGATAATTCAACATAACATCTCAACAAAAACAGGTGGACCATTTCAAAACCTGACCTGGTACAATGTTTTTCTTTTGTGATAATTAAATCATATATATTACCATTAAATATAATCAAGAGCAAGTGCTTGGCTAATCATATTTCCTCTGACCTACAGGCATGATGCAGATCAGAGATTTTGAAAATCTAGCAGATATTGTAAATTTTCAAACAATCTCCCCTAATTGACAGCAGATGCTTAAATACACCATGCTGGGGTCTGCAACGTAATTATGGAGCAAATTGAATGCAATGTGTTTGAAAGTTTTAAGTAGTTTTATTTACAAATTTTACATTTTTTTTCATGGCTATATCACTAAGCATGATTTAAGTAAATAGTTTATATAAGTGCTACATCCCATACTGTATCTCACATGGATCTAGCTTATCTGTTTTCACATGAGATACGTTTGATCCTGAATTCCCCCCACGCGTTTCCAGGACACTGAAATCATTGTTCTCTAATATGTTAATAATGTATTTGTTATCTAATTATATAAACTTGTGTTTATACAATGCTGGTTTATGAAGTGCAAAGTACACTTTTGGAGAGATGTTCGTGATTTGTTTACAAACCTTGAAACATGGATCTATCTTAATTACATTGTGAATACTCTCAAGCTATGTATTAGAAATTAGTTTTGTAACTGATATTTAAAAAGTGATTATAGTGCTTCACGGGTTTTGTTTTCATCAAATCTTTTTATTTTTTCTCACTGTAACACTTGGCAAAGAGGAATCTTTAAAGGACCACTATAGGCACCCAGACCACTTCAGCTTAATGAGAAACTTCAGAGAAACTGCTATGTTTACACTCAGGGTTAATCCAGCCTCTAAAGCCTCTAGTGGCTGTCTCATTGACAGCCGCTAGAGGGGCTTGCGTGCTTCTCATTGTACATGCTTTCCTATGAACTTGCTGAATGCGCGTGTGGCTCCTGCTGCGCATGTGCTTTCAGCCAATGACGTCGCTAGGAAGAAGGAGAGGAGGAGGAGAGCTCCCCGCCCGGCGCTGGAGAAAGGTAAGATTTTAACCCCTTCCTCTCCCCAGAGCCCGGCGGGAGGGGGTCCCTGAGGGTCGGGGCACCCTGAGGGCACTATAGTGCCAGGAAAACGAGTATGTTTTCCTGGCACTATAGTGGTCCTTTAAACAGAACAGGAAAGTGATAAATGTATCAACTGCTGCTAATTAATTCATACTTTACTAATCAATTAGCCGAGAGCAAACCATTTATATGTTAATAAAACAGCCAGCACAACTGAATAATCAGCTAGTTCTGGTGGAACTAAAAGTCCCATTATTCTCTGCAATAACCACATAGAGAGAAAATATGTTGTTGACAACATTATTTCAGGTAAATTCTGGAAAGACAAACGTTGGTTCCCACTCATCTAAAGAATATTGAATTATTCCATTAAAGGCAAAGGTTTCTGACCCTAAAAATTAATATTCCTGAATTAATAAAATTGGAACAGGTGCCATCATTAAATGTACCCCAGCTTTGTGTTCTGTGGTTGTCTTTTTTCAATATGCAGCCAGAAGATAGGGTTGCTGTGACGGTAGTATAGGGTATCACCGTCAAGCATTCCCTTCTTCCCATAAAAGAAAATCACCCAATATTCCACGAGTAGAAATATCCCTGGAATCGCCGAATAATCCACACATGAGCCAAAGCTTAATGCTGGAACAAGACTGATTTACTGGCACACAGGACTCACAATTTATGCAATGCAAAACTCCTCCTGTGGGCCAGGCTAGATAATTGAGTTTCTACAATACACAAAGCTCAATTATCCGCTGGCCAGAAATATAACAATTCTTAACAATTCCAGAAAAGTACTTTTTATACAACATACAAATATAATTTTAACATCCCTGGGTAGCTGAGGATACTAGTAGTCTCATATCCAAATCTCACAAATTTCCGTTCGGTAGTTTCCGTGTCGCATCGTGTGGAAGTTTGACCGGCTCGCCATGTGGAGGTGTCCGAGTTTGAGTTCCATGAAATTAGTAGCAAGAGCCGGTCTCCGTTCGCATCTAACTACACGAAAACCACCGTTCGTATGGTACAGCTGGATACATACGAGTGTTCCCCTCATTCGGTAGATTCTATCTACTGAACGCCAGCTTGATTCGTGAAGGGGAACGTATACATCCAGGACTTCCATGAAGACCGGGCGTTCGCATGGTTGCCTTGCCAAAAATAGTTCCAGGCTGACCAGGTTTGTGAGTTTTTAAGATGGCCGCCATCCTTTGTTCTCGCCACGTGTTCGTGTGCTGAATGGCGGCCACCCAGAAGCAATTAAATCATGTTTTTTCTCCCTGATTGCTACCCAGGGTAGGTGGTCTCTTGTTCGGTGTACGAATCCCAGCTTTCACACGAATACCAGCTTTCACATAAATAACCAAAAAACCGAATACAGAATACCATATTAAAACAGCAGGGAGAGGGCATAACTGAAGGCACATAAGTAAGTCCAAGGGATCCTTCACAGTTGCTATGAGATGCCATCTTGCTTTCGTAACGAAAAAAAACTCTTACTGGCAAGACATGACAAGGCACAACAAGAATATGTCAGCGGGCATACAGTGTATACTAAACATGAAGGGACCAACTTGTATCCCATGGCACCCATTATTAAACTGATGAATTATATCCAGTCCTGACTCCTTTTACATTTCTAGAAATCTTACAGGGGAGAGAAACTTGACAATCACGTCTTCATACAGAACTCATCACAGGACCACTGCCAAATGGGCACCGCTTACACAATAATTAGCACTCATCCTGGCCCACCAGGGACAGACACCGCTTACACAACGATTGGCGCTCATTGCAATCCTGACCCACCAGGGACAGGCACTGCTTACACAATGATTGGTGTTCATTGCAAACCTGACCCACCAGGGACAGACACCGCTTACACAACGATTGACGCTCATTGCTATCCTTACCCACCAGGGACAGACACCGCTTACACAACGATTGGCGCTCATTGTAATCCTGACCCACCAGGGACAGGCACTGCTTACGCAACAATTGGTATTCATTGCAATCCTGACCTACAAGGGACAGGCACTGCTTGCACAATGATTGGTGTTCATTGCAATCCTGACCCACCATAAACAGACACTGCTTACACAATGATTGGCACTCATTGCAGCCATGACCCACCACGGACAGACACTGCTTACACAAAGATTGGCACTCATTGCAATCCTGACCCACCAGGGATAGACACCACTTACACAACTATTGGTGTTCATTGCAATCCTGACCCACTATGGACAGACACCACTTACACAACAATTGGCACTCATTGCAATCCTGACCCACCATAAACAGACATTGTTTACACAATGATTGGTAGTCATTGCAGTCATGACCCACCACGGACATGCACTGCATACACAAAGATTGGCACTCATTGCAGTCATGACCCACCATGGACAGGCACCGCTTACACAATGATTGATGCTCATTGCAATCCTGACCCACCAGAGACAGACACTGCTTACACAACCATTGATGCTTATTGCAATCCTGACCCACCAGGGACAGACATTGTTTACACAACAATTAGTGCTCATTGCAAACCTGACCCACCATGGACAGACACCGCTTACACAATGATTGGCGCTTATTGCAATCTTGACCCACCAGGGATAGGCACCGCTTGCACAATGATTGGCACTCATTGCAATCCAGGCCTACCATGGACCACCACCACAATGACTGACAGGCAAGCACCGCTTACACAACGATTGGCACTCATTGCAATCCTGACCCACCAGAGACAGGCCCTGCTTACACAACGATTGCTGCTCATTGCAATCCTGACCCTATTGACACTGCTTACACAATGTTTGGCACTTATTGCAAACCTGATCCACCAGGGACAGGCAACGCTTACACTACGATTGGTGTTCATTGCAATCCTGACCCACCAGGGACAGACACTACTTACACAATGATTGGCGCTCATTGCAGTCCTGACCCACCAGGGACAGACACTACTTACACAATGATTGGCGCTCATTGCAGTCCTGACCCACCATGGACAGACACTGCTTACACAACGATTGGTGCGAATTGCAATCCTGACCCAGCAGGGACAGACACCACTTACACAACGATTGGTACTCATTGCAATCCTGACCCACCAAGGACAGACACCACTTACAGAATGATTTGCGCTCATTGCAATTATGACCCACCAGAGACAAGCACTGCTTACAGAATGATTTGCGCTCATTGCAATCTTGACCCACGAGAGACAGGCACCGCTTACAGAATGATTGGCGCTCATTGCAATCCTGACCCACCAGGGACAGACATCGCTTACAGAATGATTGGTACTCATTGCAATCCTGACCCACCAGGGACAGACACCACTTACAGAACGATTTGCGCTCATTGCAATTCTGACCCACCGGAGACAAGCACTGCTTACAGAATGATTTGCGCTCATTGCAATCCTGACCCACGAGAGACAGGCACCGCTTACAGAATGATTGGCGCTCATTGCAATCCTGACCCACCAGGGACAGACATCGCTTACAGAATGATTGGTGTTCATTGCAATCCTGAACCTATAGGCACCGCTTTTACAACGATTGGTGCTCATTTCCTAACCCATTACTTTTGGGAGACTGTGCTACCATGAAACCTTTCCAACAAGGCCTGAAACTGAGATTGTGCGTCAGATGGATGGAAAAGAGCCAAAGGGTCCAGATAGGGTTAATCAGAGCCTCTTGTACACGGGAATGTCTCCTGATTTGGGAGCATGAGATGTGTGAAGAGTCAGAAACGGAGGTAAAGGAAAGGTTCAGTATGGGAATGTCACAAAAAAAATCATGGAAAGTAAATTATCATGAATCTCGTTTCATATAATTATAGAACGGAAAATAGGTAAAAATGTTTCACTTGTCCTACCTGATATGCCTTTTATATCATTACCGCTATTTGTAATACAGTCCTGTATCCATAGGGGTTGTGAAAGGCATCAGTTATTGTATTCTGTAATGTTAGGTCTGTAAGTGTTTATTATTGTTACAGTAAATCTGAGTGAGAAGAATTTGGGGACAATGTTTTAAAAATGGGGCAATCATAACACTCAACGGTTTCCGTGGCGACTGCTTTGATTTTACTATTTTATCTCAACCTTGAGACATTTTTAACACACCATGGGGATTTTTCACTAGTCCATTACAGCTTAATTTTAGCAATTTATCTTTAATATTGCCAATTGCTTTTCACCTCCTCACAATTTGGGGTTTAGTAAAAGGAAAAAAAAAGTGGTGTCCAAAAAGGTGAGAAATACATTGCTTTATCTGAAAAAAGGGCTTCAAAGCACTAGACTGAAAGTTAAAATGTGCTGTTAAAAAAAACGAAGACAAACAGGAGATTGTTGTAATCAATCCTTCCCAGAAGTGGAGATAAAATGCTTTTTTGGTGAGACTGTAAGTAGGTCCATAAATAGTTTGAGTAGAGAGCCCAGACCCAGCTGGTTGGCATGCGGTAAAAATCCTGTGTCCATTGGTTAGCGTTCCAGGCTCTTTTGATCTTTGAAACCTTCCTTACTAAATGCCGTTTTGTCTGCCTGTACTTTCAGATACATTAACCAGAGTGTAAGCTGTGTATTGTCACTGATTCCTTTACATTGCTCTAAAAAGCACTTAATGAGTGAAGCATTTAAGAGCAGGTTGTTTGAATTTTGACTCCTACCATGGCACAAAGTACAGGAATTTAAAGTGATACTGAAATTCTAAAATAACCATTATTTCATTTTTAATAAAGGAAATTGCAAATTTTAGCCCAAAACAGGCATATGGAAGGAATAGGGAAACCCCCATGCTGCACCCCGGTCCATACCCCCTCTCTGCTATGAGTACCTCTCAGACCTCACTCACACTCCAGTCTCCAATCTTTAACTCTCAGTTCTCCAGTCACTCTGCTAGCTGTTACTCTTGCACTCAGTCATGGAGTTTAATTAAAAATGAAATGTGTGTAAAATAAAAGTGTATGTCAATGAGTGTGCATGCATGTATATCTGTGTAACTGTAAGAAGATTGTGTGTGTGCGTGTTTATGTATAGGTGTGTATGAATGTGCATGTGTGCGTATAAACACTGATCAGGCACAGCATTAAAACTACCTGCATAATATCATGTAGACCTCTAATGCTCCAAGGCATTTGACTCCACAAGAATTCTGAATGGGCTCTGGCACCAAGACATTAGCAGCAGATCATTTAAGTCCTGCAAGTTGCAAAGTGGGACCTCCATGTATTGGATTTGTTGTTCCAACAGATCCTACAGATGCAGATCTGGTTTAGATCTGGGGAGTTTGGAAGCCAAGGCAACACGTTGAATTCTTTGTCATGTTCCTTAAACCATTCCTGAGCAATTTTTGCCATGTGGCAGAGTGGATTATGCTGCTGAAGGAGGACACTGCCATCAAGGAACACCATTGCCATATACGTGATCAGCAACAATGTGTAGGTAGGTGCTATGTGTCAAAGTAACATCCACAAAAATGCCAGGACAGAAGATTTCTAAGCAGAGCATTGCCCAGGCCAGTCTGCATTCTTCCCATACTACATCCTGCTGCCATCTTTTCCCAAGATGAACAACGCACACGCACCAGTGCCTTCACTCCCCACCAGTGACGTACATACCAGGGTCGCAGGCACTCCTGCGACCTGGTGTGTACCCACTGGGCAACCTCTTCCCCTGGGGGGCCCAGGAGCCGGCCACCTCAGGGCCCCCGGAGGCTGGCACTTCTGACACCCCATGGCCAGTCCTGTGTGCGCGCGAGGGAGCACTCTCCCCTTATTGCTTCCTCTTCAGCTCCCTCTCGCACCGCGTACTGATACCGGAGCCGGAAGATGACGTCATCTTCCGGCGCCGGCATCCTTACTCGGCGCGCGAGGGAGCTGAAGAGGAAGCAATCAGGGGATAGTGCTCTCTCGCACGCGCCAGCCCAGCAGCACCACTGGACCCCAGGGAATCCCCCCAGCACCACAAAAGGTAAGGAGGCTAGGGGATTACCGTTAAAAAAACTAGTGTGAGTGTTGGTGTGTGTTAGTGTTAGTGTGTGTGTTAGTGTTGGTGTGTGTGTTAGTGTTAATGTGAGTGTTGGTGTGTGTTAGTGTTAGTGTGTGTGTGTTAGTGTGAGTGTGAGTGTTGGTGTGTGTGTTAGTGTTAGTGTGTGTGTTAGTGTTAGTGTGAGTGTTAGTGTGTGTGTGTGTGTGTGTGTGTTAGTGTGTTAGTGTGTGTGTTAGTGTGCTAGTGTGAGTGTTAGTGTGTGTGTGAGTGTGTGTGTGTGTGTTTGTTAGTGTGAGTGTGAGTGTCTGCTAGTGAGTGTCAGTGGGTGTGTCTGTTGAGTGTGTGTCTGCTAGTGAGTGTCAGTGAGTGTGTTACTGTGTGTGTGTTACTGTGTGTGTGTTACTGAGTGTGTTTGTGTGTGTGTTAGTGAGTCTGTTTGATGTCTGTTAGTGAGTGTGTGTTTGTCAATGAGAGTGTATGTTTTGTAAGTGAGTGTGTATGTATGTCTGTCGCTGAGTGTGTCTCTGTATGTAAATGTGTGTGTCTGTTAGCTAGTGTGTGTGTGTCTTCAGCACTTACCTTTCTCCAGCGCCGGACTACCTTGGCGCTGGGGATCCCTCCGCCTCTCAGCACCGAATACGCACGCGCGGCAAGAGCCACGCGCACATTCAAACTGCCCATAGGAAAGCATTACTCAATGCTTTCCTATGGATGTTCAGTGTCTTAGAATTGTGGAAGCTCCTCTAGCGGCCATCAATGAGACAGCCACTAGAGGCTGGATTAACCCTCAGTGAAACATAGCAGTTTCTCTGAAACTGCTAAGTTTTCAGCTGCAGGGTTTAAACTAGAGGGACCTGACAACCAGACCACTTCATTGAGTTGATGTGATCTGAGTGTCTACAGTGGTCCTTTAAGTGTGTACGCATCTGCATGCACTGGCGTACATACCGCGGTCGCAGGGTTTGCAGCCCTGCGACCAGGTGCCCGCCGCCATGTGTTGCAGCCCCGGCCTGCGCAGAGTAAGCGTGGGGGGGTGAGGGGGTCCACCGATCAATTTTCGCACTGGGGCCCCATGGGTCATGTGTACACCACTGCTCCCCACATGCATCAATGAGCCTTGGACGCCAATGACCCTGGCACCAGTTCACTGGTTGTCCTTCCTTGCACCACTTTTGGCAGTTCCTTCTCAGGCTCTTCATTGCCAGACTCGTGAATTAACCTGTCTGCTGTAAAGAGCAATGCAAACTGTGGCGGTTTTAGCACAGATCTTCAGATCTTGCTTTCTCTTAACCATGAGAAGGCTTCACTGTCAGACTGAGGATGCTACCACCAGGCCTCCCTGGTGTTCTCAGACCGAGCTACGGTCTACGGCAAATGATGACTTACCTTCCTCTTAACATTTATAAATATAACCCTATCAGTGCCTGAAGACAGAAGAGTGATTTAATGTCCATGGTGGAATAAACCCTCGGTATCAGCAGTTATTTAATATCTCCTTTATCACCCATACACTCCTACAACTAAACATGTTAAACAGAAAAAAAAAATGCTCAACATGGCTACAAAACAATATTATCCCAGAGAACCTTTAAACAGAACTTGTTTGCCAGCCTCCTGCCCTGTGACAATGGAACCTGTAATAGACTTTGGTTAAAAATACTATGTTTGCCTTTATTTTACTATGTATGGCTACACTTCAAACTCACAAAGCAGTTCGAAGCGGCACTTCAAATTCTTGAACAACCGCACGAACCAGAGACCACCCTGGAGCTTGTTAACACCTATTAACAACTTGGAACGTTTCTCACTGCAGTGTTCTAATTGTTCATCTGGGTGACCGCAATTCCTATGAACAACCACGACGTGGCGGCCATTTTGTTCGCATTTAAACAGGCAGCGGCGTTTGGGCATGAATCTCATGGAACTAAAATTAGACATAGAAACTCCCGAACACCGCTGGACTTCCATCATCGCCTGCGTTCGTTTCTATACAAGTTAGAAGGGCATTGTTCGGTGGGATCATTCGTCTGGATTAAGGGAACAAGCTCCAGGGTAAGACGATTGACTCTGTTCGGTAGTTTGTTCATTTTCAAACTACTGAACTATACCGACCGCAAGCCCTGATTCTCTGGAACTGTTTTGGGCATGGGACCATGCCTGCGGTTGGAGAAATAAATGACTTCCATAGAATTCCTGAAACCCTGAACTGATCTGGGTGATTGTTGGATATGTTAGTCACTCAGATCAGGGCTATCAGGGTATGTTACTTTTGTGGGGATATTATGTGTTTTGGGGGTACTTTGGGGGTTTTATAGAAATGTGTGTTTTTTCTGCCTGGAGATAATTTGATTAATACAGTATCTGACTCCATTATCTCCCAGACAGAGAGGAGGGATTGTGTGCTGTATGTGGGAGTGTTGTGCCTTGTAACCTTATTGTTATTGGTTATTGTGACGTTGTAAATCTGTCTACTATTAGGTCCATGTGGGCGTACCCCTTGCATGGGGATTATCATATAAGGCCAAGTCTGGCTCCATTAAAATCAGTTTGTCTTCACCCTCAATATAGAGCCTCATGTGTGGAGGGGACAGCTATATTCACTCTGGGGATTGCTATAC